TTTATATTAGCTTCCAAACCTTTTAATTAAGAAAAAGTTAAAACTCAATCAATTGTAGTGGAACAAATTGTTATGAAATTTATAAAAAAAAAATTGGAATACTTGAAATGTGATGGATAGTGCAATGTATGCCTTGTTATTTATAGGAAATTATGTGTTTTGTATGTTACAAAATAATATTAAAATCTTAAATGGTATTTAATGGTTGAGTAATTAATATTGTAACAATTGGACTCATTAAACCCCATTTAATTTGAAGTTTGACCCAAAATTTATAAATAAATTAATTCTTAATAAATATTATATATTAAAAATAAAAATTCAAGTGGCCCAAAAAAATAGAAAATGAATCTTTAATTCGAAAAAATAATTTAAAATGTTATTTGTGTTTTTTTTGGTTATTATAAAGCAAATAATGGGCTTTTATGAGCTTTTAATCATTTTTATTCCACTTTATCAATTGTTAAAAATCTTAAAATACAAAAAAATATATATATATATATATATATGGGAGACTCACAAAAATGCCCATTTTTCAATACCCCTTTTCAAAAATGCCCCTTTTGGCTGTCCATTTTTAAAAATACCCCTTTTTATGTACAAAATGACTAAATTACCCTTCTTTTAATAAAAGATATCACAAATATATAAGGAAATATAACAAAATTAGGTCCACAAAATACAAAATATTTTTTGGCGGGAAAAGTGATCCCGCAATTTTTCCCGCCAAAACACTTGTAAAAACTTTAAAATACCTTGTAAAATTTTCCGTAAAATTTTTTTCCGCCAAAAAAAAATTTTTGCGGGAAAAGTGATTCCGCAATTTTTTTGGCGTTAAATTTTTGGCGGGAAAAATTTACAAGGTATTTTAAAAGTTTTTTACAGGGTATTTATAAGGTTTTACAATGTATTTTAAAAGGTTTTACAATGTATTTATAAGGGATTTATAAGATATTATAAGATTTTACAAGCTATTTTATAAAGTTTTACGAGTTATAAGGTTTTACAAGTTTTTTATAAGGTTTTACAAGTTATAAATACCTTATAAAACCTTATAAGTACTTTGTAAAAACTTTTAAAATACATTGTAAAACCTTACGGCTATGATTGGTAACCAATTTTAAAGCTGTACAGCTTTGTACAGCTTTGACAGTTACCAATCACAAAAGCTTTATGAAAAGCGGTACACTATAACATAAACAGTTTTTTTTGGACAAAAACAAAAACAAATTAAAACGGTTACGGTTAAATACGGTTATGGTTAAATACGGTTACGATTAAATACGGTTATAACGGTCACGGTTAAATACGGTTATAACGGTTACGGTTAAATACGGTTACGGTTACGGTTACAACGGTTACGGATAATTACGGTTATAGTTTATGATGACTACAATACGGTTAATATCGGAGGCGAAATCTTACGAGTTACCTAACTTATTATAATACTTTTCATAAAATCAAAAAGTATGTTACAAACCAAATTTTCTTCATTTCGAGCAAAATAACAGTATAACATATTTGTTTGAGAAAAAGACCATTTTTTATAAAGTAGATTTTTTCATATGCGGTATCATTTACTTTTTTGAAAATCTTAATCTGAACATTCGATAATTGTTTTTGCATTATATGGAGTTACAATTATATTTTTAAAGTTTTAACTATGCGGTTAACCATATGGTTAAATAATAGTTTTCATATGTTTACCGTTAATTAACGGTTACGGTTAATATATTTTTTAACTATAACTAATTATTTTTTACGGTTAACGGTTACGGTTTTTAACCGTTTTATACGGTTACGGTTGAGAAACGGTCCGGTTACGGTACAACATATGGTTACGGTTAACTTTTGGTCATGCCTAGTAAGCATGACCAAAAGTTAACCGTAACCGTATTTTGGATCGTAACAGGACCGTTTTTCAACCGTAACTGTATAAAACGGTTAAAAACCATAACCATTCACCGTAAAATTAGATTAGTTACGGTTAAAAAAAATATACTAACCGTAACCGTTAATATACCGGAAACGTATCAAAACCGTTATTTAACTGTACGATTAGCCGCATGGTTAACCGTATTATTAACCGCATAATTAAACTTTATAAAATATAATTGTAACTATGTATAATGCAAAAAAAAAAGTCTCGAATGTTCAGATAAAGATTTCTGAAAAAGTAAATAATACAGCTTATGAAAAAATCTCATTAGAAATAATGGTTTTTTTCTCAAACAATTATTTTGGAATGTTATATTGCTCAAAATGAAAATTTTTTTATTTATTATAGGACTAGTAAATTCATATTATTATTCTAACAATAAAATATTGTTCATTCTATATAATCTTAATTTTCATATGTAATTATATACTAAAGTACATTTCTATGTAATTTTTTTTTCTTTCTAAATTCTTAATATTATTTATTATGTGTACCGCTATGATGTTTCCAATCAGAGTAAATTTTTAAAATTTGTTCTGCGTTATTTTTTTGTACAGCTTTCGTGTTTTATTCTTTTGTACAGCTTTGCACTATTCCCTAACAGCTAACAGCTCCAGCTAACAGTTTGTTACCAATCAGACCCTACAAAACACTTGTAAATACTCTGTAAAACCTTTAAAATACCTTGTCAATTTTTCCCGCCAAAAATATTCCCGCCAAAAAAATTGCGGAATCATTTTTCCCGCAAAAAAAATTTTTTGGCGGGAAATTTTTTTGGCGGGAAAAATTTTTACGGGAAAATTTTACAAGGTATTTTAAAGGTTTTTACAAGTGTTTTGGCGGGAAAATTGCGGGATCACTTTTCCCGCCAAAAAATATTTTGTATTTTGTGGACCTAATTTTGTTTCAAATAAGGGTAAAATGGTCATTAAAAATTAAAAGAGGGCAAACTTAAAAATAGACTCTCAAAGGGGGCATTTTTGAAAAGGGGTATTGAAAAATGGGCATTTTTAAAAATTTCTCTATATATATATATATATTAGAAAATAAGACAACTAAAACGTAAGAGAATGTTAAAACATATATCATATTATATATTACCATTATATTTATCGAATAGATCTCTTATGAATGCAATAATATACTAAATTTTATATTAGTTTCCAAATCTACAAAGTCAACATAAAAAACAAAAGTTAGAGCTACATCAGTTGTATCATTATAGAAAAATATTATAACAATCCATTTCTTGGGCCCAAGCCCACTTCAACCCGAATCCCATGAGCCCACTCTCCTAAACCTTAAAGACAACTGATAAGTACCTATAGCCAAAGCAGCAACTTTTGCTCCATTGGCAACACGTAGGTCTACTTGTCCTTTCTCCAAAGTTCTACTATTGCTTAGGCCTTTCAAATTTGTACAAATGTGGGCACCACAGCCGGTATCTAATACCCAAGGAGTAGAATTATAGGTGGTAACATTTACCTCTATAACATATATACCTAGAGAAGAAGTCTAAAAAATCTTCTTTTCTCTCAGATCTTCTAGGTATTTCTCAGGAAAATTGTTTTTAAGGGTGAAACTCTTTTCTTCCCTAGTGAGAACATTTCTCGAAATTTGATACCAATCAAGGAGGTTTGATCTACCCAATTTGTCATTCTCAATGACATATTGAGATGAATTAGAATTGTGTGGGTTTGACATCACTGTATCAAAAGAATAGCAGATGTTAATACGATGTTCATGAAATTTGAGAAATCTTAACAATTAAGAAAAACTCATACTATAGTCAAAACAATATTTTCCTCAAATGAGCATAGTAATCCAAGATCCTTATTTTACTAAAATTCAAGTGAGCTTTGGCTCATCGCCCGAATCCTATACTATTATTTGGGGAGTACAATTTATTAGAAACCCCTTACTAACCTTCTATTTTGTAAAAAATTACATGAGAATGCCATTACAAAAAGCTCATTTTAGAACAAATTCATTAAGGTTATTATAGACAATTAGCACACTATCCATTTCACTAATCATGGGTCAACGGGTTTAGAAACGGGTTTAAGAAGATTCCCACAACAATAAGATCTTCCACGTTTTTTCATTAACAACAACACCAAACAATTAATTCATAATTACTTACATATATTATGAAACATCTTATCACATAAAATCTTACATATATTACTTACAGAAGAGTCAGAAACCAAAAACAAAACGTTTCATGTTATGGTTGGTTCATGGAAGATGATTCGTGCCTCTTCATATCGACGGAGAATTCGAATATTTGTATATTCTTCCATTCTATGTTATTGTATGTTTTTACATTTTTACATGTTTTCTGTGTTATCTATGTTATCGTATGTCTCTAATTCTTATAGTGAAGATTCAAATATTTGTATATTTTGGTTAATTTATATGTTAAAGATTGACTATTTCATCAATGTTTTTATATTCGACCTACTCTTTTTTTTATTAGGTCCTTTTATATAAAAGAGTGTTTCATACCCCTACATTCAAAATTACAGTTTAATAGATAAAATACAATGATAAGGATCACAACCAGATATTCATTTCTGTTTCTAAAATCAAAACAAAACTAATCCAGTATATATATATAATTTCATATTTAAAAGAGAGCTCTAGATTAGTTTAAAATCAAAACAAAACTAATCCAAAACTATTAGGTATTCGGATTTTTTTCTAACTAATTTTAGATTGTATTTGATATTTGAAATGACATATACGATATGAGGATGAAAATCCAAATCTTACCAATACGGTTTCGATAGTGATAAGATTAAAAACCATTTAGTTGTTTAATGTTAAGAATAATCCTATTTGAAACTAATAAAAATTATCATTTATATTTTCTAAACTAATATCTTTAGATTAGTTTCAATCACTATATTCCACCTAATAGAGAATATACCTATATGGATTAAATTTCATAACTAATTTTAATTAGCTAAAAAAAGATTTGATAATATTTTTCGGAGATACTATATCTAACAAAGCCGCCCTTCAATGCTTATAAATTGGATTAGCTACGAGACTGCTTTAGTACATTCTCACAAAATCACCTCTTTACACGAAACAAAACCCTTCAAAATGGCCATGGTCAGTCCCTATACTCCTATCAAAGATTTGAAACCTTTCAAGACTTCCTGGCGTATTCAAGCTAAGATTCTGCATACGTGGAATCATTATACTCAGGGTGCTGGGATGTCTTTTGAAATGGTCTTGGTTGATGCTGATGTAAGTAGGATTTTGTTTGTCAACAATTAATAAGTGTTTAGCAAACTGATTTAAGTATTTATGTTAGTAGATTGGTTTACCATTTATTTCTTATAAACGCAGGGTAACAAGATTCAAGCAGGAATTAAGAAAGAACACCTCCAGAAGTTCCAAAGGGATATCAAGAAAGGAGAGTGGAGAATATTTGACGAGTTTTCAGTGAAGAAGGCAACAGGAATGTATCGACCAACAACTCATAACTACAGAATTGTATTTGAGTACTCTACTGTCATCTCCCCCTCTGAGACGATTTCAGAATCGATTTGGCTAGATTTAGTTCCTTTTAATTAAGTACTAAGTGGTACCTTAGATCAAAACAAGTTGGTTGGTGAGTTTTTTTAAAATCTTACTTTTTTTGTGAATTTTTGTACATGTATATTGTACTAAATAATGTGTTTTACCTTTGCTATAGATATCATTGGCCAACTGGTGAATGTTGGGGAAATCCAAATCGTGGATGTCAAAGGCAAGCCTACCAAGAAGATTGATTTCCAACTAAGAGACACTGAGTAAGTGTTTTATATAATATCTATAATAAGTCATTCTTTGGGAGTTTATTTTGATCATATTTACTTTTGATTTTGAATTTCTATCTTTAGCGATAACCGTCTACCATGTTCACTGTGGGGAAGATTTGCTGATCAAATTAGCAAAGTGTCAAAAGATTCTATTGGGGGACAGGTCATTTGTTTGATCCGGTGGGCTAAGTTGTGCCATTACAAAGGTATTGCATGACATATTTGACGGATAACTCCATATATTACGTAAAATATTGTTACTGATTGAAAACCATTCTGTTTTTCAGAAATCAGAAGTATTTCAAACTCTTTTGATGCTTCTGACCTTTTGATCAACCCTGTCTTGACAGAGGTGGATGATTTTAGGCAAATGTGAGTGTACTATTTTCATCTAACTGTCTCTTTATATAGCTAAATATAAATTACGAAAACTAACTAATTCTGTGTTTCTCAGGCTTCCTTCTGATGGACTTGCATTGACAATAATGGAACCTAAACCTAGATTCCAGCCTCTCAAGGTGCGTGAAGAGAGATCCAAACAATTCCCAAGGAAGACTATTGCTGAGCTAAAGGCCTCTCTCGAGGTATCTGTATCACAGATTTAATATTTGTTGTCTTTTATTATTTTCATCTTAATTAGCTAATTTAGCTGACTCCTTCATCTTTTCTAAGGTTGAGAAGGTCAAGCTCATCTGTACCATTTTGTCAATTGACTTGGACTGGTCCTGGTATTATTTTGCCCACATCAAATGTAACAGAAAAGTTCTCAAAAGCAATAAACTTCTTAGCTCTGGTGCCAAGAAGATAATTTGGAGGTGTGACAAATGTAATACAAACGTCTCCTCTGTTGAAGCAAGGTAATTGTTGCTATCCTATTTGGTATCTGCCTTTACTTTTATCATATTCTACCAAATTTTTTTATTTATATTGAATATAATTCTTAATTGCATAGGTACTGGCTGCATCTAGACGTTATGGATAACACAGGGGAGAGCAAACTTATGTTGTTTGATAGTTTTGTTGAACAAATCATAGGTATTCCAGCTTGTGATCTCGTGGATCCCACAACTGAAGAGGTATTTTCTAATTGTATTCATTACATTTCGTTTTATTTACTTTTAGCTAAATATATGATACCCTTCCTGTATACTATTAAATACAGCTTGATGATCCCCTGCCACTCCCTGATGTTGTGAAAAACATCATTGGTAAAACATACCAGTTTGCTCTTTGTGTTGAGCAAGATAATATCTCAAGAGGAAATGATGAATACAAAGTTTCTGAGGTTTTAACAAGTCAGAACCTTAATCACCCTGCCCTTGAACCTGAAGTTGATTATCCTGTTGATCTTTCGTCCATGAGTTCCAGTGACCAGGTAATACATTTTCCTAATTTCAGTGTGATTTATATGATGTGATAATCTTTGTTGTTCCTTACTCGCCTAATTAAAAATTCAAAATGTTTTTAGGTTTTGATGCTGACTAATAGTTCTCATAAGGATGACACTACTAATACTTCACTGTCTACACCATCATCAAAGAGAAAAGAAGATACTTCGGATGGATCTGATCAAAACTCCACAAGCAAGAAACAATTAATGCACTGGAATACAATCTGATGTCAAAGACGATGGTGTCATTGATTTAGACACTCCGGAGAAAAATGATCAGTCTACTGATGTTAAAGTCGATGGTGTCATTGCTGTAGACAATTCGAAGGAACATGATCAGCCTAAGTTCATACACAAACTTGATGAGGCAGGTCAAGAAGCCATCAACAAAGTAAGTGAAGCAGAACAGAAGAAAGTTCTTTTGAAGAAGATTAAGGTTGAGAAGCTCGAAGGCCAGAAGGGAGCAAAGTGAGTTGAGTGAAGACTCATCAATCTAAAATAATGTTGATCTCATGGATTGTTTTTTTTTTTGTTGTTCTATTAGGTTTCTTTCTTACATTTCTATCTTATTTTTTATGTTCTGTTTTTTCAAACAACATCTTAGCAAACATTTTTTCCTTAGTTTCAATTTCTGTCTACGAGTTTTATTTCAGAAGGTTTATCATTGTTGTGTTACTTATTTGATTATTTGTTCTATCCTCCTAAGAATAACGATTCCAGAACCACTATTTAAGCCAAAGCTTATAATATAACTCTTTAGTATGGCCTAATTTCATATGTTGATATCAAATTGGATCGTGGAGGAGAGACCAAGCCATAATCATATGCTTTCTCCGGTATATCTAACAAAAGACAAATCTTATTTATTCTACTTTAGAAACTATCCATAATCCTAAAACCATTATAACCCGAATAAAAGTATAGCATGATGACTTTAACGAGACTTACTTATTTTAATCGCTTTGTCCAGACTGATCTTTATCCACTTTTTTTAACTGCTTTAGCATAATCCTGCAAATAAATCAACAAACAGTTAATTAATATACAATATCAGTTGAATTAGTTGCATGTAAGTTTAGATTCTTCATAAATTTGATAATATAATTTTGTTATCCTAATAACAATAAAATATCTAAATTATATCCAAAATCTAAAACAAGTTCTACAACAGCTTCCTAATAATTTATCTTGAATCCGGATACAATATTGAGTATCTTGAAGACCTAAATTTATGGAAACTGTGATTATATGCAATCATTCTTAATCATTATCTACCTCATATTTAAATAATCATAAATGAGATATATCAAACAAACACATCGAAACGATTCATATTTCCATATCTAATCCTAACTATCTTCTTTGAATCTGTTCACTCCTATTCGACTATATATACCTATATTTTCTTCTCATATCATCACAGAAACCATCCACTCCTCTGCATTCAATGCAAAGAAACAAACGTGTATATCCCATGGAGTTGGTTCACAGTGTATCTGATTTGCATGTACACTCGACAGCATGGAGGATTTATGTTAAGATTATGTGTATGTGGGAAGAGGATTTGGGTTCTGCTTGATCTGAAACAATCATGATGTTGGCAGATGAAAAGGTATCAAGCTTTTGCTTCACTTTCTATTTAGTTTTATCTTGCAATAAAACTATTTTTATGTTTGTCATACAAGTACTTAAAATGTTTTGGTTCTGTAGGGTGGAAGAATCGATGCAAGGATTCCATCTGGGACATACCTTTGGAATTTTCGACCAGTACTGAAAGAAGGATTCTGGTTTCATCTGTCTGATTTCCAGGTTATCCAACCAGAGAACAGAATCAGATATTCACCATCTCTATTTGAAATCAGGTTTATCTCGGAAACAGGAATGTGGCCTGTGAAACAGAGATCATGGAGTAACTTCTTTGAGTTTGTTTTTCCTATTGAAGTCCAGTATGCTATGGAATCGAATAAAGAAATTGTGACTGGTAAAGATTTCTACAAATTTTTTTTATGTGGAATCCATATATTTTAGATTACTGATTATAGTTGGTTTTTATTGTTCATTTTGAGTTTAGATGCTATTGGTGTGATTGCTGGTGTCAATACTGATCGAAGATTTCCTTATGTGTGTCCTCGGGGAGGGTCAGACAATGAGTCAAGATTTGTGGCTTTTAAGATAAAGGACAATATGTAAGTTTTTCTCTTAATATGTTTTATGCTATATGTAACATCAAAGATGTTTTATGATATTTTGAAAGCATATAAACATAATGCTATTCATGAAATATTATTCAGGGGTGGAATAATTGAGTGCATTGCTGTTGGTACGTGTTGTGATTTGTTTATGACCAACTGGTCTGCTAAGGTCGACTCGGTTACTTATAATTATGAACCAATCGTGGCTGTTCTTCGCAACTGGAGAATTACAGAGTTTGATGGTTAGTTCTAAAAATTCTTTGTTTCCTTCTGTTAATTAGACTATCTTATTCTTATGTGTTTGAAATAGTTAATATTTCTAAATTATATATTTTACAATTGTTCTATAGGAAGAAATGTCTTGATGAGTGAATTTGGTTGTTCCCGTTTGTATCTTGATCCAACTTTCTATGACTTGGATATTCCACAATACGTGTAAGTGTCATTTTTACTAATTATACAATTGACTATTAATGTTACAGGAGACACACTAATTTGGTCTTTTTTTCTTCCCAGTCGTAGCTTTACTGATGAAGATGAACATGAAGATGATGATGACTAAGAGAATCTGATGATGGAAGTTCCCTTGATGTTTTATTTTCATTGGTTTTATCTATTTAGGTTGTTATATTTAAATTTTCGGATTGATAATTTTTGGATTTAAGTTTCAAACAATGTTATCCTACATTTGCTATTAAGTTAATCTCATGAATTGCTCTATAACATTTAAATTTCATAACTCTAGATCATCTCCTTAACTCTTTATATTCTATTGTTTTGATGTGTTCTAAATTATTAAAATAAGAGCTACTAAACGACAAAGTATATAGGTTTCTTTTGATACAATAGTTCACTGCAAAATCTTATCAAAACCAATCAAAAGCCTCTTGAAAAATATGGACACACAATCTATAGAATATATTATTAGCTACTATCGAAATGATTTGTATTCACCTATACATATAATATAGGATACTTCATTTGGGAAATAAAACTAATAAATACAAATCATTTAAAACAATAGTCATCATTCAAAACCGGATTTTTGGTTTTGATATACCCAATGTCTATCATTTCTAGCTGACATAAAACGTAAACAAAACACTTGAGTAGAATTTTGAAAGGCATTTTATACTTATTAGTATTTGTTTAAGTTATCAGAATCCAAACTATCAAATCTTTTAAACAACTTATATTTAGTTTGTTTGCTCTCTAATTCTCTTCTCTTCCTTTAACAAGCCAACCGTGAAGTAAAACTAAACCTAAATGTCAAACTCTTCCTATCCCATGAATTTTGTTTCTGATTTGAACAACGAGAGAATGAACTGGAAGGTTCATTTAAAGATCTTGAGTATTTGGAATGTTCATTCCACACCAAATTCGAGTATGGTTACAAGCATGATTTTGGTTGATGAGAAGGTATGTGTTACCTATTACTTATAGTTTCGTTTTAGTTTTATTTGTTTTATCACAGACTTAGTTGTGGACATCTTATAATATCACAACTCATATAAAATCTCTTATGTAGGCAAACAGAATCGATGCTGTAATCCCAAATGGTCTATACAGACACAATTCCAAAAAGAATCTCAAAGAAGGTGAATGGTACTTCATGTCTGATTTTAACGTTGTTCCCCAAAATCCCATTTCTAGATACTCTTGGCACCCTTTCATGATTCAATGTAAGTGGGAAACAATAATGGTTCACATAACTCCTAGATCAATCAACAATTACATGGATTTCATTGATTATGATGAAATCAAATATGCTGGAACACAAGAAAAGGAGCATGTAACTGGTAAGATCTATATACATAATTTAGATATATTGTCAAGAGCCATTAATCTGAAATCTATATGTTTTCCTGTGTAGATTCTATTGGTTTGATAACAAGTGTGTCTCCCATTCGAACAGTGCCTTTTGTCTGTGGTATAGGACAAATCGATTATGAAGCAAGACATGTGATGTTCAAGATTAAGGACAATGAGTAAGTTTTGCATTTTGGTTTATTATGTTTAGTGTTACATGATAATTTTAGCAAGCTAGATTGTATTAATCTGAATAATCTCTATGTTATTTATATTTTTAGTGGCAAAAAGATGATATGTGTTGCTGTTGGAGAGTCTTGTGAGCAGTTTGTTAACAAATTGTCTACACGTTTAAGTTCTCCTAGATACAACAATGATCCAATCGTGGCTGTTATGCGATTCTGGAGGATCTCCGAAATAAATGGTGCTTAACTATAGTGAATTACATTATTTCTATTAATTTGATCAAAATCTATATATGCATATTTTTTAATCTAAAACTCTCTTTGGTTATTCCTCTATAGGGTCACCTTGCTTAATGAGTGTAGCTGGCTGTTCAAGGGTTTTTATTGATGAACAATTTCCAGATTTCGATATCTACAGATACATGTAATTTCATACTTTATGGTTTTCTCATATTTTAATTAGCATGAGATTAAACTAACTAATATTTCCTCTTTGCTTTTTATAATTTAGTCGATCATTTGCAATCGCCGAGGTAAATGATGATCAGGTGGAGGAAGTGGATTCTAACTAAGACAAAGCTAAGAGGATAAAATTGAATCATATGTTTTATCAGTTTGTACTTTGATATATTCCTGTTATCTCTTTTTGTTTTTTTGTTATTTGACTATCTCTAAATTTTAAGATTCCCAGAGACTTTACTATATGTTTAAATGTACTTTGCCAAAAGTTATTTGCATTGTTATGAACTTTTATCATTCGTGAATATGATGGACCTTTAATGTCAGTACCTTACAATTTATATAAGTTACTGAATAGTTTTTTTGTTGTTAAGCAAATAATCTTTCTCTTATAATCTGCTATGAACTATATTGGTCATGGAAATGCTAAAAAAACATCTCCCCTAATGCAAAGATTTTAAAAAGTTGTAGCATTGTGATTCTATATATTCTATATTGAATGTATTATTTAGTTTCGTAAACCCCCCTCCCCCCAGTCTTACAAGCTTTAAGCTTATTTGATATTAACTATAGTCCAAAGTTTTCAAAAAAAGCTGCATTTTATCATAAAATTAAAGTTTCTTTCTTATATGTCATAGAAACACAGTAGCTTTGAAAACCAAAAAAGCTGTTACCTTGTGCCAATACATCAATCAGGTGCAATGGTCAAGTTTTGCAAATTGGTTGTCACATATAAAGTTTTTGTTTTCTCTACTTTAGTAATATATAAAAATGATTATTCTGGTTTTTCTAAATTGTTTCTATTGGTCATGCTATAGGTTTGGCCTTTTCTAGATGTGTATAAATACATATATTTATTTCTACATGTATCACACTCAAGTTCTCCCAAGAGTTGGCACAAACAAAAAATCATCAACTTTCATCATTTTCAGCCGATTACTCTAATCTTTTCCAAATGAATAATTTTTTAACTGATTTAACTCTTGAGAAGAAGGAATGGTTTGTAGTTGTTAAGATCTTGAGCATTTGGAATCATCCTCCCAAGCATCCCAATGATCACACTACCATGATTTTGGTGGATAACAAGGTATGTGTTATTTTCTCCTTTTTATATCATTTGTTCTATAGATTTATTATATATGATGAGGGAGACAAATCTTTTTAACGATGCTGTGGTTCCTCCAGATTCATACAAAAGGGATTTTCCTAGAAATCTCAAAGAAGGAGAGTGGTACTTTCTTTGGGATTTTGATGTGATCCCACCTTCATTGTGTGAAAGGAACTCTAATCATCCTTACCAACTTAGATTTAATAAGAAGACAACTATGGATCACTACAAACAGAAATACACTTCCGAATTCCTGCAGTGTCTTGCTTTTCCAAGGATCAATAATCCATCAGAAGAAGATAAGCAATTCGTTGTTGGTAATATTCTGGATTAGAGTTCCAAATTTCGGGGATTATTTTTTTTTTACTCTTATAGCCTAATTTTTGACTTATTCCCATTTTACATGTAGTTGGAGTGGTTAGGAGTGTCTCTCCTATTGGAAGACTACTTGAAGGAGGCAGTGATTTGGATTCAAGCTATGTTACTTTCAAATTAAAGGACCTTGCGTAAGTTTTATTGGAAAATCAATATAGTCTGAGAATCTATATGAGTTGTATTAGTTAACAGATTTTCAAAACTGTCATTATATTTTTATTATGTATCATTACATGTAGTGGCCATTCCATTAATTGTGTTGCAAAAGGAAGTTTCTGTGAAGAATTTGTTAGGAAGTATTCTAGAAGAATAAGTGATGTGAATTATCACAATCAACCAATCATGGTTGTTCTGCGTTTTTGGAGGATATCAGAGTTTGGAGGTGATGTTCTCCAAACAAATTTTAAGATTCGTAATCCATATTTGACTGTTTATATAGCCAACAAATTTCAGTACATACTAATTATGGATTTTTTTTTTGTGTTTTTAGGTAAACCTTGCTTGATTACGAAAGGAGGTTGTCCAAGAATGTTCATCGATGAAAATTTCGCTGACATTAACAGAGACTGCTACATGTATTTCCACAATCTATATGAAATTTAAATTGGTTTATTTATACATAAGTTTTTATATTCTTATGTTTGTTATATTTATTTTCGCAGCTGCTTTTTCACTGCTGGAAATAAAGAAACAGCATCCTCAGATAATGACAATGTTTCTGATGAAGAGGGTGATTCTAACTAAGATTTGCAGCTGTGTGGATGGCATCAAGAAAATTCCTCCTATGTTATGTTCTATCTTGGACTTCCTTTAATGCTTTGTTTTGTTAACTTTTTAGCAATGTGCTATTCCTGTATCTGTAAAATTAGACTCTTATGTTCAGTTGTTTTTTATTTTGCTTATCTGTGTTTTACTTTTATTTTGCTTAATTCCTAAGCTTTCTGTGAAAAAAGCATTGCTTAAATCGATTATTAGCACAAGCTATGGAATATCCTTTTTTATGTTAATTATGTTTTTAAATTTCAGAGAACAGAAAGAACTTTTTATATTGAGCAAAATATACTATAAGCTGAGCCTTCTGAATGACACTAACCTCAATAATAGGTTGATGATCCGAGATCCTTGCTCCCTATTGTTTGATATTCTTATTATAATATATCCTGTCAATCATAAAAGTATATAATTTAGTTAGTAACTACTTCTAAAAAATTTTAACTTACTCAACTATTTTAAAAGTTAGTGAGAATATCTACAAATAGTACAGAAAATTAAAAATATTATGTACATGGTACTTTATGATATAAAAACTATCTACCATGGCATATACATCACATGAAAACTTAAATCCTAATCCAACAAAGCCTATTTTTTAATTGTAAATGCATAAGCTTTAATTTCCAGTCAAATTATCTGATTGTCAACATACTGGTCTGAATCCTATAGGAAAAGAACAGCCAATAAATTTCCAGTTGACTCATGCAATTATTTTCGTTAATCCCCCAATCAGTCTTACCAGATTTAATTGTTTTACATGACAACCAAACAGGAAATCCCAAAATACCAATAACTAATATATGTTCTGATATTTATTTCATTTGGTTGGTATTTGTGTTGGATGTGAAATAGGCCACTTGCTTTGTTTTCTTATTCACGGGTTTTGTCTATTAGCGTCACTCTTACAACATTTAAAGGTATCTGAATAAGTAAACACAAAATAGGCACGAAAACCATTAAAAGCTGTTATATCTGCTCAAAATTCAAGCTTCTTAGATGTAAAACAGAGACATGAATCTTGAAAAAGCAAAAAGCTGTTATATCAGTCAATATATCAATCATATGCTATGGTCATGTTTTACAACTGGTTTTTACATAGTGATATATTATTTGTTATACTTTACTTTTATTAAAACATCATTCTGTTTACTTTTATTTAGTAAATTGGACACAATGCTATAGGTTTTCACTCCATTCATAACCTGTATATAAATACATCTATACTTCAGTATAATATCACACTCAAGTCGCTCATTTCTTAGAAACAAAAAACACACCAGTTAGAGAGGTTTTCATCCTAATCTACTTCGTTGATCATGGCAGTTCTTTTATCTGATTTAAATCGAAGGAAGAAGAAATGGCTGGTTTTTGTTAAGGTCTTAAGCATCTGGAATAATCCTCCTAAACATCCTAATGATCAGACAACTATGATTCTTGTGGATGAAACGGTATATATTGTTTTCTCTTTGCGCTAATAATGTTTTATATTTTCTCTTTGTGCTGATAATGATAAAGGAAACTTAACTTATTATCATTTTCTTTATAAGGGACAAAGAATTGATGCTACGGTTCCTACAATTGCAATCAAAAGGAACTTCCCTAGAGAGCTCAGAGAAGGACAGTGGTACCTTTTGTCGGAATTTGATGTGATTCCACCTTCATTGCCCGAAAGAAACTCTGATCATTTTTACCAGATTAGCTGTAATAGGAACACAGAGGTGGATCCTGTCAGACCAAAATCACAATCCGATTTTTTTAATTGTGTGGATTTTTTCAGTATCAATAATGCATCAGAAGAAGACAAACAATATGTTGTTGGTAAGTTTCTGTGTTATATTGGCAACCATTTTTTGTAAAATGTAATAGATCATCTATATACTAATGATTAATTCTTACTATGTTTAGATGTATGTGGAGTGGTTGTCAGTGTATCTCCTGTTGGAAGACTTCTGGAAGGTGGAAGTGACATGGATTCAAGATATGTTACTTTCACACTGAAGGATACTATGTAAGTACAGTTTTACAATGCTATTACGTGCTTTGAAAAATATGTATGTATTAGTTAACAGTCTTATTACATATGAGCATCTGATTATACATTCTATCATTACATGTAGTGGCCATTACTTGAATTGTGTGGCAAAAGGAAATTTCTGTGAAGAATTTGTAAGGAAGTATTCTAGAAGAATAAGTGATGTGGATTATCACAATGAACCAATCATGATTGTTCTGCGATTTTGGAGGATTTCACTTTTTCAAGGTGATTTTCTACAACTAATTGTAAACGTCATTATCTACATGTGACAGTTTAGATAGCTAAGCATTTGGTTATGGAACTGATTTTTGAATTTCTCTGTTTTATAGGTAAACCTTGCTTGATTACTGGTGTAGGTTGTCCAAGAATTTTCTTTGATCCAAATTTCCATGACATCAACAGACAGAAATTCATGTATTTCCTTCGCTATAATAGATTCAACTTACCTAAACTTATACTCAAATTGTTTGATTCTGATTTTAGTTGTAGTTTTGATTCACAGGAAGTGTTACACTCAGGGAAATGGTGAATTCACACCCTCAGATGATGACGATGTTTTTATGGAAGAAGTTGATTCAAACTAATACATCACTTCTGAGTGGATTGTTTTCTCAATATTCCCCCTATGTTTTATTTTATCTTGCTTTTCATTTATGTATGCTTTGTAAAACTTAATATTAAATGTGCTATTAGCACAAGCTATGGAATAATATATTTCCTTTTTTGTTAATTATGTTTATGGATTTCAGAGAACGTTAGACAATATATTATATCCATCAACATGGACTATAAGCGGATCATTCTGAATGATACTGACCTGAATAATAAGCCCGTGATGCTCCGAGATTATTGCTTCCTGTTGTTTGATCTTCTCATTTAGTATATCCTGTCAATCATGATAGTATAGAATTTAGTTACTAATTACTAATAAAGAATCTTAAATTACTCAATTTTTTTTAAAGATAGTTTCAGATATTGAATATATCGCCAGATCTAACAAGATTTTATTCTCATATCTGGTACAATAGTATTTATCCAAGCTTTAGTCATTCTCCAACTCAGATTCATAAATTCTTATACAGTAAAAAAACTCGCTTTGTTATAGTCTTAGACTACAGAACACATTCAAGAGTTTGATAAGGTAAAACAGAGCATAGAAGTTATACTATCAAACATCTTCAACTATATTCCTACAAATTTTGTATATCCTCACATCTGTGTTACAATCTATCCTATTTTTCCTCAGGAAGTCACATTTTCATGAGGAAGAAGAAAGAAGCAAGGGGTCAAATTGATCCTCATGTCACTCAAACTCCTGTTAGAATAAGACCAACATCTACTGTAATCGATGAAAACAATGTTCCAGGTTCAGGAGAAAGTAATGTCAGCAATAATGTTGTAGTCAATTCAGTTTTTAGAAGAGTTTTAGGAGACATATCGAACTCACCACGCAACACTACAAGAAATTGGAGTATTGATAGCAGTACAATATAGCGTTTTAAGCTCTTTTGCTATAATTGACATACCCTTCTGTTTTAGATAGCGTTTACCAAAATAAAAACGCTATATTTGGTTGGTTAGATTTTTATGTTGGAACGTTTTTACGAACTGTAGTATTCATAGCACTGGTACATTTTAAAAACGCTATGCATAGTTGACGCGGAAAAGATAATTTATTTGCCCGCCTAAGTAAAATTTGGGCTACAAAAATATCTTTACATAAAAAATATTTGTTCTTCGCCAAATAAAATTTAGGTCTAGCTTTCACTCTCTTTCAGACACCTCTTCGACTTCTTCCTCAACTTAATCTTTTCGTTTATTCATCTATTTCTTCATCTTCTTCACCTCTTATTCTTTATTTCTTGTCCTCTCCCAAAATTTTTTTTTTCAGATCTTTCTTTCTTTTTCCAGATCTCGTTGCTGCTCATGCTCTAACGAGTAACGCCGGAGCTGTATTTCTGGTTCTCCTACGGTTGTGAGGGTCTGAGGGATCTCCTATTACCGTGTCGTTGTCGTGCTTATCGCCTTTGTCCGCTTCGGCCTCATCACTGTCTCCTAGATCTGTCGCCGTTTACATATCTCATCCAATTAGTCTTTTCTGAATTCTTATTAGTGTTTGAGATTTTGATTTAGGGTTCACCGATTTGTGGTTTCATCCACAAACTCTAATGGGTTTGTTAATTTTTCGTGTTATTTTTTTTTCTAATTCGATTTAGTTGAGCCACGATGATGCTTAGTACGTCTTTGGTTCGATATTTGAAGGAATTGATGTACTCAGTGATGAAAGGGGGGGGGGGGGGATAGTTGGGAACAAATACAATTTTCTTCGACGGAGCGTTGGATCTGAGGCTCCTGGACGGTAGAAGGGAGGAATTTGTAAAGGGAGGAATTTGTAACGGTGAGGAATCGAGTTGAGGTGAAATCAGATTCGAGGTTAGGGTTTAATCTTTCTACTTGTTTGGGTGAAATCAGATTCGCTAAGAAGCTAAGTTGTATCTAACATTGATGTTTTTTCGTTTGATGTGATTCCTAAGTACGTTGGATATTGTTACTCCTGAATAGAAGCCAAAATTTGATGCTATGGTGAGCAAATTGATGAGAAACTCGATTGCCTATGTTTGTTTTCGTTTAAGTTTCTCTTCTATAAGATCTTTCAGGTGACGTAACTTTAAAAATAGAGTTAGGAGAGGAGAATATGGGGACAGAACAAAGGTACACAAACCAACTTTTCTTGTGAATTCCAATTTCTCCGTACTCTTTGCTCAACTTTTTTCAATTTATTTTGTCAAAATTTTTTGTGGATTAAACAATTTGTGGTGTTGTGAATGCTATTGTGATGCAGGTTTACATCCATGAGATACAAGAATAAGTCATTGTGATCTTATACAGCATATTAAAAAGTACATGTTCCGTTTGTGGAATTTGTGGTTTGTGTACAATTGTCCATAATAGAAGAACCTCTCGTGGTTGGTAACAACATTACATTATAAAAGAAAGTATGGGAGACTCTGAAGGAGAAGAGAAAGAAGATATAAGATGAAAAGCTAGTGAGGGTCGAGGATAAGAGATGTTGGCTAGCCTTGTAAATTAAAATGGTGTTTAACATTATGTGTCTACAAATTTTGTAATTTAAATTTGGTTTATGAATGGAATTTGTAATACAAGTTTCAATTTTGTCAATATAAATTGAAGCTTTTGGAATTTTAATTTTTTTACAAAATTTCAAAATTTAAAATTCAAATCCAGATCATTATGAATATAACACTGATAACAAAATTAAAGTGTTATAGTATAATATATGATTGCACAGAATAAAACGCTATATTTGACAAAGACACGATAGCAATACCAAAAAACGCTATGATAGGTCCTTTACCTATTGTCGCGGTCGATGATATAGCGTTTCTAAATACGCTACTCTAGCAATAAATAGCGTTTTCTGGACGTTATGAATTCCTGATTTTCCTGTAGTGCAATACCTCTGGACAATCACCATCTGAACAAAGAACACCGTTGTCGTCCACTGCAATAGACAATTTAAATCAGAGAAGCACTCCTTATCATAACCGTAATGCAAAGAGGCCAAGAAATATCTCACCTATTTCATGTAAGTAATAAAATTGCTGTGGGAATTATGTTCAGAACCTATTTCATTTATTTGACATAATATTGAGAGCTAATTCTATAAACAGTATTTAATGAGTCAGGTACTAAATCCAATACTTCCCAGATTACCTCAACTCAAATCAATGATTCTCCTCTCTTGAGTCAATCTTCTTATACGCATAATGATGATTATGCTCCTACATCTTCTGCCAAAAAAAGAACCAAAGGAAATTTATCAGGTTATACATCATTATTAGTACTAAATCACATTATTTTTTTGTGGATGATGATGGCTTAGGAGATACATCTTAATATCTATGACTAATACATATAGGGATTTATCATTTGGTATTTGTCTACAGGTACTACAAGAGGATCCGGATCATCAATACAAAACAATCAGTTTTATGATGATCTCCTTCACTCTCATCAGAGTTATGTAGAAGATAATGGTAACAGTTCAGATACAGATGAAGATGCTGATTTTTCAAATTATGAAGCTTCCTCACAAGGTAAGACCTTTGTCGTTTGGAACGAAGAAATTTGATAAAGAATCATATTTTTAAAATTTGTTTCCAATATTAACAGGAGACTATGAAGACAACAACCAAGAAGATTTCTTTTTTAGTAGTGAAGAAGATTATTCATCAAATGCATCCTCAGATGAAGATGACCGTGTTGACGACGTTTCTCAAATCACAAATCAGGCTTTTGGAAAACCAAGTCCTTTACCTACTAATCGTCAGAACAGAAAGAGTGGTACAATATACATATTAACTCAATCATGAGACTCAATTTTAAAAATTCAGTACAATACTATAACCTATATTAATTTTTTGGTTTTTTCCAGCTTATGTCGATGAAGGTGATCCAGTTCATAGTTGTGACAAATGTGGTGCTATTTTTTGGTATGGGGAACGCGTAAACAAGAGGAGGAATACCAACAATCCTAAATTTTCATTGTGCTGTATGCAAGGTCAAATCGTATTACCATCCTTTAAGGATTCACCTGAATTATTATGGCATTTGCTTACCAGTAATGATGAACTCTCAAGACATTTTAGAGAAAACATCAGACCTTACAACATGATGTTCTCATTTACATCTATTGGAGGTAAAATAGATCATTGTCTTACTAAGGGTCGTGGGCCGAAGATGTTTGCAATTCAAGGTGAAAACTACCATCTCATAGGTGCTCTTAAGCCTAAAGCTGGTGACTATCCAAAGTTTCAACAGCTTTATATTGTAGATACTGAAAACGAGGTTGACAACAGATACAACATAATGAGGTATTTTCTCTCTTACTCACTCTTCTTTATAAGCTAATTTACATTAGTTTATCACTAATATATCTGATAACCCAAACTATGTTTATTTAGTAAAGGGAAGGAATATGAAAACGACCAGGGAAAGAACAGGTTCAAAAAGGAAATCATCGACAGTATCATCAAGCTTTTAGATCAAGTCAATCCTCATGTTCAGGCGTTTAGAACTGCAAGAGACAGATTTAATACAAACGCAGAAGAGCCTTTTCATATGAGAATTATTGCCGCTCACACCGGTGATGGCAGGAATTATAATATGCCATCAGCATCTGAAGTTGCTGCCTTAATTCCAGGGGATTTTGATGAAAATATGGATAAACGTGATATTGTTTTGCAGAAAACTTCTGGGAAGTTAAAAAGAATAAGTGAACTGCATAAATCCTACCTTGCTCTACAATATCCTCTGTTATTCGCACGCGGGGAAAATGGTTATACTCTTGGTATCAAGAAAGCTAAAACAAATGGCTGTGGCAGTGACAAGGAACAGAAAGATGTAAGTATGAGACAGTGGTTTGCATTCCGTCTTCAAGAAAGGAAACATGAGAAACATGTCTTACTTCGTTCCAAGCGCTTGCTTCAGCAGTTCATTGTTGATGCTTACACTATGATTGAGTCAAACAGGCTGAGATATATTAAGAAGAATCAACCAAAGTTTCGGAGTTCTAACTTAGAATCTATTCAGAATGCGTCTAATGCTGGAAACAATGATTTGGAAAATCAAGGTAAAGAATTTAGGATTCCAGCTTCTTTTACAGGGGGACCACG